ACCCACAAAAAATGTGCTTACCCGTACATTTACCAAGTTTCGGTAATGTACCAGTTGTTTGCAAAACTAACTGTGTTTACTTTTCGTGTTTCTTTATGTGCTATTCAGCCTGATATAATGGCTCCAGGAGTGGCCATTTTAGCTGCCATAGCTCCCAAGAATGAAAAAGGGGCAGTCCCAAATGGGAAGAAGCCATCAAAATTTTCCATAAAATCCGGGACATCAATGGCTTGTCCACACGTAACAGGGGCTGCTGCATTCATCAAGTCAGTGCATCGTCGATGGACTACTTCCATGATCAAATCAGCCCTTATGACCACAGGTATTCTATTGACATTTCGACATCTTGTGCAGCCATTCTATGTTAAGATATTGTGTTCATCAATCTTTTCATTTGACTTCAATGCAAAATATTTAGGAAGATACTTACAGCATGAGAATTACATGATTTCCTTACCTGGATTATACTTGTTTGAGCTTATTTTCACTTGAAAGTACCGGCACATAGGAGATACTTATATCGACATCTTTTCTTGTTTCAGCAACCATTTACAACAACATGAAAAAGCCTTTGACAAACAGCTCTAACCACTTTGCAAATCCACACGAGGTGGGGGTCGGAGAAATAAACCCACTTAAAGCTCTTAACCCGGGACTAGTCTTCGAAACCACAACAGAAAACTATCTCGAATTCCTTTGCTATTACGGCTACCCAGAGAAGAACATAAGATTTATGTCAAACACAAAGTTCAACTGCCCTAAAATCTCCACTGAAGAACTCATCTCTAACATCAACTACCCCTCCATCTCCATTAGTAAGCTCAGCCGGCGCCAACCTGCAAAGGCTATTGAAAGAACCGTGACCAATGTTGGAGCCCGGAATTCTACGTACATTGCAAAGGTGCAGGCTCCGGTAGGATTAACAGTCAAGGTACTTCCGGAGAAGTTGGTTTTTTCTGAGGGTGTGAGGAGAGTGTCTTTCCAAGTGTCATTTTATGGCAAGAAGGCTACTAGCGGCTACAATTTTGGGTCCATAATATGGTTTAATGGTCAACATTCAGTTCGTACTGTGTTTAGTGTGAATGTTGAGTAACGTCGGAAGGTGAAGGTGTTAACTGATTGGAGTGATTAAAAGATAGAAGAGATCTTTCATGTGAGGATGGGAAAATGTGAAAGAAGAGGAAGCCAAAAGTACGATTGACATCTTTATATTATCACAAACCCGTCCTCAATATGCCTAGAGAAAAAAAGCTGGTACGACGTGAAGGCTAAGGCTCGTCAGTGTCGCATAGCACGAATGGACAAAGGCAATGTTTCAGCCATTTTGATCTAATTTACGAATCCCCTAAACCTTTCGCCATCTCCTTGTCTCTGTCTCAGTCATTCTTTTTATCCACTGTGCCATCCGGCTGCTATTTGACAAATGTATTTTTTACTGTGATTGTATTTCCTTCTCTATTTGGACAATGAATACTACCTATTTATTAATATGTTATAATTAAATTTGGTAATGACAAGGTTTCGTAGCCTTGATTGTTGTTTCACGTAATCCACAGCCCGAAAAAGAATGTGTAATCTCTCATTTTTGAGCGGCAAGGCCAGCCTTGAGCTTCTTAACGGTCTCATTTATTCCGGTGGTAAACACAGACACCAGCACAGAAACTGTTGTGTATATTTGCATTTCCGAATGCTAAAATAGCGTAGGCTGGTAAATCAGCTACCGGGTTAAACTGATAATGGACTAGTCCCTTGGGGAAACACACATACACATGCCTCCAACTCCAAGCTTTAGTGTATATAGAACGTTCTTCGTGTTTAACAGGGAAGCAATAGCAGAGAACCAATAACAGGGAACAAAAGTTCAGCGGAGCAAGGGTGGGTGTGAGGTGGATTTACTCCACCGTTAGGAGGACATTTAAGCACAGCGTGTGACACGCTATGTTCGTTAAGCGCAAGCAATTCAGTCAAAGCAGTTTTTGTTACGTTCAAGGTTTTAGGAACATCGTCAAATACTCCCCAGAATCCAGTGTAAGTGAAAATGGAGGTATAACCGTTAGTTATTTGGCTGGAGAGTCGGAGAGGTTGCCAAGATGATCACATGCTAGAACCCTTTTGGAGGTTGCCAAGATGATCACATGCTAGAACCCTTTTGGAGGTTGTCAAGATGATCACATGATCACATGCTAGAACCCTTTTGGAGGTTGCCAAGATGATCACATGCTAGAACCCTTTTGGAGGTTGTCAAGATGATCACATGCTAGAACCCTTTTGGAGGTTGCCAAGGCCAGTACAAATATGATCAGCAACTGAACAAATCTCGATTGGCTCAAAACGTTCCTAAAAACAGCTACGATTCTCAATAGCAGCAAACGCAGCCACCGCATGCTCTGCCACGTATGACACGCCCCGACCCCGATATTCCCTGAATACTAGGATAGACACGTGCTGGCCGACACCCGAGGGTGGCGAAAGCCATTTATTGAGTGTAAATACTGAAAACAAAGGATAAATAGGACGTATAAATATAAATGACTAATGAATATGCAAATAAGGACCGTGTTCAGAGCACACCTCTAATCTAGAACACTAAAAGAAAATAATATAAAATTGAATGAAACGAAGGAGTGGGTCCTACACCGAGAGGACTCGAAGATGCTGATGCAGAAGTGCCTGGACGTCGGGATTGTATGCCTCAATTCTAAGTCCTGAAGGGGGGCGCAAAACAAACATGAGTGGACCAAGTTGATACATATATAATAAAACAGTTATCAACATACTAACCCCTAGGTTTTATGAAAACACATATATATAATGATAAACATAGGTTTTCCGAAACCTAGCACGTCGTGCAATGTCTCAAATCATAATTTGCATAAATAATAAACACTAGTGAATGTCCGATAACTCTTCAGGCCCCATGCCGGCTTCCCGTCTCTGAGCTGACAGTCAGAGGAAAATACACTTCAGGCCCCATACCGGCTCCCCGTCTCTGAGCAGACAGTCAGAGGAAAACACACTCCAGGCCCTATGCCAACACCAAACCGTCGTCCGGGACGGACCGAATCTATCCCTACTTCCTGTAGCGGAAAGGACCACTAGGTAAGTACAAAACCAAAGAACATACATATATTGAAAATCAACTTCATAGTATAAAGTCATGTATCATCTATACTATAAAGAGGTGTTCTAAACATGTTCTAAATATCATATCGTCATCCATCAGATATTCTATAAGAACATGAGTTATAGTAAAAATAGTAATAATTCAAACTAGTTTCAGTAAGCATGTTATCTCGTAAAACGTTTCATAAAACATAATCATCAAATCATGCTTTTCATGTATGCATTTCTACTATCAAAACATGCATTTTTAGAAGGGGTCCACTCACAGTACTTTGCCGTCGAAAAGCCACGCCATCTAGCGAAGAAGGAAACGCCACAGATAATCGCCCCTAAGCACATAAAGGGTACACTTAGTCAAACTCTACTCAAACAATTGAATTTGGGGAAACGGACATCGGAAACGGGTTCAGAACGTCGAAATTAGCCTAGGAGGGGTCCCGCACGAAAACTCAAAAAAATCAACGATCAAAGTCAACGTTGACCGTTGTTCGGTCAAAGTCAAAGTCAACGCTGACCGTTGACCAGGTCCGGGTTCGGGTCAATAGGTCAAACGGATTTGGGTTTGGATCCGGATTGGGTTAAAGGTTTGGACTTGGGTTGGATCCGGGTTTGGGCCTAAGGGTTTGGGTCTAATGGGTTTAGGGTTAACGGGCCGAAGGCCCTAAAGGAAACGGCCCAAAGGCCTTTAAATTAACAAAACAAAAATAAAAATAAGAAAAAATGTTGGGTTGGGCTGCTCAGGGTTTTGGACTTGGCAGGAACAGCCCGAAGGCCTGGGTGGTTTCTTGGGCTGGGTTTCACGCCGGAGAAGAAGGCTGGAAAACAGCCTGGAAGCCACGGGTGTTCGCCGGAAACTGGGTAAGATTCAAATGAGTATAACTTCTTCAATATTCAATGAAATTGGGTGAAACAAAAAGGAAAGTTGTAGTACTCAACGAGACGAAGAGATTGATACCTTGCACGCTGGCCAACTCACCGTGGTTTGGCCGGAAATTGCCTCGAAAGGGGCGCTGCTCGTCGGAAAACTAGGGAAATGTCTCCGAGGTGGTTTCTTCATGGTTTGACGTCCAAAACACAACCACGGGGTTAGAAAAGAGCTATAGGTGTGGGCATGGGTGTGTGTGTGTGTGTGTTCTTGTCGGAGAAAAGAGCACCGAGAGGGGGGGATGGAGAAATCACAGAGTAAGAAAGAGATGAGAGAAGAGAGACTTTTCAGAAAAAAAAAATAAAAGAAAAGGGAAAGGGAAAGAAACCGGGGGACAAAACAGGGGGTGGGCCCCTTGGGCTCACCAATTAAGACTCAAAAACAATTTTAAAAAGGAAAGTATCCCCCAAACTTAGTGAAAATACAAAAACACCCATTTTCTTACGTAAATCCCGGGACGGGTTGTTACAACGTAGCAGAATCTTGGTACAAAACGAAAAACACAAGCGGGATTCGGATCCAACTTAAGGGAACCAAATCAGAAGTGGGATTCCTAACCAACTCAACGAAATCAAGAATGTAGGGTTTCAGACCAACTCAACTGAACCACTCCTAGAGTGTGTATGGTTGCCCAATGCGGATGAATCAGACAAAACCATAGGCATACAACTATTAGCGTGGTCCCTCAATCCAGATTAAACAAGCAAGACCATTTCCTATAACAGTAGTTAGTGAATCCCCAATGCGGATTAACCAAGCAGAGTCACCTTTGAATATGTATGGTTCCCCAATATGGATTAACGAGGTAGAACCATACCCAATACGGATTAAACAGGCAGGGCCATAGAATACATGTAATAGTTTAGTTCCCTAGTGCGAATTAACCATGAAGGACCATCCATGTACTACACTGCTACATGGTGCATTCTCATTATCGCACATCAAACATGTACAACAACTTGTCATAGACCACAATTATAGACACATACACTATCAATTCCACATGACAAGCGATTATCTATCAGGGCAAACCCTAGTTCGTCTTTGGGCTGATTGAAAAGCCACAAGCTGTCTTGCATATGAGCTGATGCCCCTAACTAGAATACAAGACATAATGCCAAATTAACTAAGGCTTTATACTAATTATAGTTTAAGCTTCAATAAACCTAGCTAGTACTACTAACAAGAAACGACAATCATTACAATAAAACCCGGAATCATCGCTACTGATCTTTAGCTGGAGGAGTTTGATTCAGAACAAAAACTGAAATGGCGGGGCTTTCCCACTCCATTGTTAAGAAACATGATCACATTCATCCTTAACATGCAAGGGAGTTTGACCTGTAATACATAGATTGCATGTTTTTTTCGTATAAAAGAGAGAATTCTGCAAGGACGGCTAATGCCTCCCGCCATAACCGAGCTCACTATCCCTATTTATTGCAACAAAGCTTTCTTCTGCCTCTCCCATGTCTGTTTTCGCAACCACAAATTCTACCTCCGCAACAGTTAGGCAAGCCTTCAACCTCTTGATCTCAATATCCAAAGCATCCACATTATTTCTCAGCTCCGTTACATGTCGTTCCCTTTCCACAAACTTCTTCATACCCAAAGCAGACTGAACATGAGGCTCCAACCAAGCCAAGTCAAATTTGAAGGTTCCGAGCTCCTCCCATAAAAGCTGAAGCTGCTCCTCACACGGATCCTCGATCATATCCTTACCCTTTGTAGTCTTCAAAAAGTGCAGGAGTCTACCCAAAGCTGTGAATGCCCATTCAGTAAACACACGACTTCTCTTCCTTTGGCACTCGATCAATGAAGGATGCAACAAACAGGCTTCCTCTAGAAATGGAACATAATCTTTGTCTATTTTCCCTAAACCCCGGAAATCCATGAGCTCACCAAGTGGGGTGGAGCGTGCTATCTTATGTTCCTTGACCATGGGAGATTCAACAGGGCTATCGTTAGGCTCTGGGCAATATTGTTCAGAGCTTGGTTCTTCCTGGAAAGCAAGCATTTGATAAGAACTGGATGTCGTAAGTGCTTTTGAAGAGATTGGAGCTTGCAACGAATCAGCATTTGTTTGCTTTTGTTCAGAACTTGGTGAATCCAGAAAAGCAAGCACCTGTAGAAATTGCGCAGCTTCCACATTTGAATGTCCTTGCCTTTCATTTTCGTTCTCTGAGGGTTTTATAGGTGTAAAAAACCAAGTTTCATGGACTTCAGAAGCACTCGTGTAGTCTACCTGACTTATAGCAACCTCGGCTTCCAGAACACATGCATCATTCACAAGAAACCCTTCGGTGCAATCAAAAAGCTCACTTAGAGGCATGAATGATGTGAAGCCCCAGTCACTTTTACTTGCGCTGAACACATGTTTAGTTTCTGTACAATCAAACAACGGCGGATTACAGAACATTACCATCATAGAAAGATTGCTACTGCAACCGACGCCATAACATAAAGCTGACAGACAATTGTTCGGTACGGAGTCTTGTGAAAAATGAAAAATAAAAACTGCATAGAATGCAATCAAGGATTGAGTGACAGAAACACCAACAAGTGCATAGACAAGATGAAGAGTGTGGAGTGTACATAAATTACCAAATGTTATGGACTTATCACTGTCAAGTTGATTGACGACGGTCAAGGTGAATTGGGCATATCTGCTCCACCCAGATGACAATGTTGCAGCATCTGCGACATTCAAATATATCGACAGGTCGTTCTTTCCGGGATTTCCACTGCTTCCCTTTGGATATACAACGATCTGCCTGAGATAAACAACAAAAAAAATACATTTAGGCTAAATGATTTAGCATCTTCTCAAGTAAAATTTTCATATTATTATTACATGCATCTATCTGAAAGCGAACATGATGGCCTTGCTACTTTTGGTTGTCATATCTGGTTTAGTATATCTTCTTGTTCAGTAATTTCTAGATTAAACTTTGACATGTGGTTGATCTTCGTTGTAATTTATTTATTTATTTATTTTTTTTTGGTCAAACCGAAAAATAGGGAAATAAGAAACTGAAGAAGTCATTGATTCATTCAGAGGAGAAACTAAAACATACGTACCATTTAAAATCACCGACCGCGAAACCCTCAGAGTAATGCTTCTGGGGTCTCAACCTTGAGAATTTTTCAATCTTCCATGTGAAGGTTACAGATACAAGCTCCCCAACTTGCTTTTTCTCCATTTTATTATGCAACTCAAGAGCAACAAACTAAACAAGAAAACACCAACTTATCACACAACCGAAACTTGTTCTTTATATTATCTATATATACTAAAACCGGTACCCCTCTTTTTTTGCCGTTATTTCAACTTTGCCACGGTTGCTTTGCTGTCAAACGGAGAGCAGAATGGTGACGCGTGGATCTTCACCGCTTCTTCCCCTCTGCCTCCTCGCCTCATCTGGCAAAACATCGTCCACTTTAGCTCTGTTGCTCACAGTTAACAGAACAAATATTCGAAACCTCAAACCAATAAATCGGAGAAAACCTAAAACCCTCAAATCAACAAAGCGAATTTCTACACTTAATCGAACTTCGAAACCGTCTTCAAATTTCAGTCTAAAAAGAGAAACACAGAGAGGCGGAGGAGAGAGAGCGCTTTCCGACGGCGATCGATCGGCAATGAGCTGCTCTGTTGATAAGTTGTTCTAAGTTAGAGGCAAACATTGATACATTGAGGAATATTGATCAAGGATGTTGAGGAGGCGGAGGAACAAGAAGTTTGATTATTTTAACTCTTTAAATGTTTAATCAAATTCCAATTGAGGAAAGTAGTTTAATTTTTTAAATTGTCAGATTGAAAATCTGAAGGTTGTCTGTAATCTTTGAATTTCGCAGGACTCCGTTTGAAGCATCACCAGGAACTAGAAAATTTAAAACTTGCAACACAGCCGTTAAAGACATTTAAAGTATTTCAGTTTGGCTATTGGCCAATATGTTCGGCGTTTTATGGCGAGAGGTGGTTGGTTTCTGCTTCTAATTATGTTAGCACGAGGTATAGGAGTGATCGCTGCTACAGTTGGTGGACCTCAACAAGAGGTATTTACTCGCAGGGCGACATTTTTGTTCAGTTGCATTTAGATTTAGAGTCAGAATAACCGTTATTTGATTAACATAGTTTGCCTAATATTGTTTGTATGAGTTGCTGGGATAAAGATTTCCCATGAATGTTGCATTATATATGCATTATCGGGCATGTTTCATACATAATGTTGATGTACTTTTGGACTTTCCTTTATTGATTTTATAATTAATCAAAATGCAGCATATCCAGGAGCTTATTCGTTGTCTGCAATTTGGACTCTGGTGGCTGGCTCTTGGTGTAGCATCATCTATTGGTCTTTGAATGAGAGCTTTGGCATGTGCTCGGGATTGGATTTGGGTCCTCGCCGGATCCCCTCTCTAGGAATTTTAGGGATCAACAAACACAGATAGTTGATAAAAAATAAAAAATCGTGCGGTCATAGTTTTTTTTCTTTTTATATTTTCACGCAAAACAATGTTGTTTTACTTTTAAAAATATAAAAAGCATTTAATTGGGACTGCACGATTTTTTATCAACGGTCCGTGTTCGTTGATCCCCAGCAAGGGGATCCGGCGAGGATCCAAATCCCTCGAGATCTAATACTTTTCATTTTTTTTTTTTCAAGAATGATACTTGATGAATGGCAGATTTATCATGTGAGTGTCAGAAGTTTCATCTTGAATCTGAACAGGTTTTTATCAATTGTTATTTTCAAAGGTTGATTTTTGGTTGATTTTTATGATCATAAAACTGTCATGTCATATTACTATTGTCAATGTTATGCAAGGACTAAAGTTTGTAGAAGGTTGTTGATCCATCTTTGTTGCCACCAAAATAATGTATGTAAAAAGTTGCTGATTAACGATAATAGGTAGCTTGCAAATTTTTTTTAATGTATCTTATTAAATGGATTTGAGAGCTGCGATATTACTTAATTATTTTAACAATTTACATTGGCAGCTTTTATTTTTTCACATTTTAACTGAGAAACATGTATATCATAAAAAGTAAAAGAAATTCTAAAGTGACGATCGAAGAATTTAAAAGTGCTAATTAGTGTATGTGTGCAAATATAACCGTAAACAAGAATACGAATTCATAATTGAACCCTTAATTTGGTTTACATGTGGATAAAATTTTTTGCATATTTTATATACTTTAAAAACTCGCTGTAACGTGCGAGTACTTATACTAGTATATATAATATGAACTAGTTGTGGTGGTTGTCAAGATATTCAAAGTGTTATATTCAAATGGGTAGGATGCTCTCCTCAGCTTTTAGTAAAAAAAATTAAATAAAATGTAAACGTCATGTTAAGATGGACTTTATTGGACAAGGATCCTCTTTGTGGGGATTGACGGATTAATGAATTATGTTCATTTATCGTAAATTGTGCGATCATTTTTCGTTAAATATTATTTATATTTAGTTTTAAATTAAAATTTTAAAATGATTTCTAACCGTACAATATAAGATAAACATATACAATTGATTGATTTTCTGAATTTCCACAATGAGGATCCTATTCCTATTTTACGTTGTATTTTTTTGTTTAGCAAGAGACGGAGGTATATGGAGGCCTGGCGCTGTTGGTTAAACTCAATTTTTAAATGGAGCAAAAGGTTATGGCGTGCTGTTCCGGAATTGCAAACCCTACCACCCAGCTAAGATCCCAATGATTGCTCTGCTTTGGTGGGTAAGGACTATTTCAATGCTAACAGGATGACCAATGTGAGACCTATACAAAATCATATCCCTATCATCAAATGGATACCTCCGGCGATACAGATGCTCATACTAAACTTAGATGGAGACAAGGCTGATCCTGGTTTTGTTAGTCGAGATGCAACCAGGGCCGGCCCAGGCCCAGGTCCAGTGCGGGTAGGTCGACGGTCTGGGGCCTAAAATAATTAGGGCACCAAAATTATTAGGGTGATATATTTGTATATATTTTCATAAGAGTATAAATTTATAAAATTTGGTTCAATGATGAAGAAGTTTAACTAGAACTGGTGGTTTTGTCATTTGAAATTAATAAGGAGGTCTTGGGTTCAAAACATGATGTGTGTTTATTTGTTTTTCAATTTTTACAAATTTCATTTCATAAGATTATAAATATATAAAATTTGGCTAAATGACCAAGAAGTTTAATTAGAATCAATGGTTTTTGTTGTTTAAAATTAACGAGGTCCTAAGTAAAATGCTAAGTGCATGTTTTTTCTTTTCAATTTTTACGAATTTTTGTTTAGTTGTTAATTTATTTAATAGCTAGTAGCTATGTGGGTTGTTATTTTTAAACATTTGTTTCTAATCTTCCACAAAGAGTAATGCGTTGACCAAATTTTTAAACCAAATTGCAAATCATATAACGTGTCATCAAAAAGTTTAATTTAGTACCAATTTATTACTTATACATATCAATTAAAGACTCAAAAATATCATTATTTTTTTAGTCCCATATTGACAAGGTTAGTAAATAAGAAAAAAACACATCACGATTTATACAAAAACACTTTAAAAGTTCAGATGGAAAACAAAACTCATATCTTTCTACTTGTAAACCTAGAGTTTTTTTGTTCCACCTCACGATACAAAATAAATTAGTTTTTCCTTGTTTCTAAATTATTAAGTTTGAAGTGTTTTTCTAAGTATAATTTTATCGATGTCTTACGTGTGAAAACAAATAATTTTCTTATATAAAATGAGGGCACATTTTTTGACGTCGCCCCGGACCTCAAAAATCTCTAGACCGGCCCTCGATGCAACTGGTTTATCTACTATTTCTTGAGCATTAACCAGTTAGTAATATGGCATTGACCATTAATTTGGGTGTTCTGCACAAATTAATCTCATAACCTTATCTTTGAAAAATGTACTCAAATCGGAAATGGTTTAGAATTATTGTGAAGATTTTATTGTTTACTGACAACATCTTGTTCGTCTATTTATCAGGTCACATGTCAATAACTAAACAACTTTTGATTTAGTGAAATTTTTTTAAAGATGATAACCATAACTTAAAAAATGATCGGTTTAGATTATGAAAAATATTGTCAAGTGGACCTATACAAATGATTAGTGTCATTTTAAGAGCATCTCTAAAGAAGATGTCGAAAAATCCAAGCAAATTTTCAACGAATTAAGTCAAAACGATAAAGAAAGCGAATACAAACAACCAGCAAGAACAGAAGGAAGACCAAGCAGATTTTCAACGAATTTAACGACCCTAAATCATCAAAATTAAACCCACATAAGCAAAATACTCAACGTCAAATTAAGGTGAAAATTCTGATACCGGTTGACAGGTGGTTGGTCGGTAGTATTGGAGCTCTCCACAACAGGGATTTTGATAGTGTTCAGATGGAGGGGGTTTGGTTCATAACAACTATTGCAACGGAGGGGCCGGGGTCTCCCTCACCGTGGCTTACAAACAGGATCACCCTTAACAAGGGAGTTTGTGCCTGTAATACATATATACATTGCATATGGTTTTCACATCGAAGGGAGAAGCAGTACGGCTAATGCCTCCCACCATAACCGAGCTCGCTATCCATATTCATTTCTACAAAGCTTTGTTCGGGCTCTCCCATGTCTCTTTTCACATCCTCAAACTCTGCCAAATTTAGCGTAGCCTTCAACACACATGTAAAACAATAAACACATTTGATCAAAGACCTATGCCTCACACTCCCACGAGGTGGGGTGGGGGGTTAGGCCAATAGATCTCTGATGCTAAGTCAGTTTCTTTGAGAGAGTAAAGTGTTTAGGAATTTTTTAGGATCGCAAAAGCTTGTGAAATTTGGTAGAATATAGGGTAGGGGAGAGGGCCGGTCATAGTGTTAGGGTTTTACCCTACCCATGGCGGCATCCTATTGGTCAATGTTTATGGAGAAATATTCTCAAGATAATAAATAGGAAATAATATTTTAGGATACTGAAGTAATTATTGCTAATTGATTTGAATTTGGATTACTTACTTGATTGGAGTCAATCGTCAAATGGGAATGTATTAAATATAGGATTAGGGTAATTAATATCTTTAATGCTTTGACTTTTTCTTACCAATGACAGGTGAACTGTGGGCAGTCGTATTTAGCTGCTGAGACCTACAAAGATGTGATCTGCACGTGGGAATATCTAAGGAGCCTGCCCATTTATTGAGGGCAATCTTATTTTTCTTGAGCAAAATTCCACGTTCATCTCTAGAATTTTTGAGATTATTTTAGGCTCCACAATTATTACAAGTATTGACTAACGTAATTATTTTTTATTGGTTACACGTCATATGATTTGCAAATTTGGTCTATCCAGCATTACTCTTTGTTGATGGTTAGACTTTGCAACCTACATAACTACTAGCTAGTAATTACAATCGAACATAAGGTAAAAAATATTAACAACCAAACAGAAATTTGTAAAAATTGAAAAAAAAAACATGAATTGTATTTTGAATCCAAAAGTTTCTCATTGATTTTAAATAGTAGAAACCACAGCTTTTGATCATTGGACCAAATTTTGTAAATTTATACTCACATGAAAAAAAATTCATAAAAATTAGAAAATAAAGGAACACGTGTATGGTTTTCAACCCAAAACCTTCTCCTTAATTTTAAGGAGCAGAAACCATCTCTTGTTAAACTTCTTAATCATTTAATCAAATTTTAAAATTTATACTCTTATCAAAAACATTTATGAATATACCGCCCTAAACCTTGTATACTCTTATGAAAACATGTATGAATATACCGCCCTAACATTTTTTGTGCCCACGATTGTTTGGGGCGCCAGACGATCTCCCTGTTCGCACTTGCCAAGGCTGACCCAATCTATAGTAAAGGATCTAGAAGTAGGTTAAGTTTCACAACGAACAAAGTGGAGTGTTAACACCTAGGCGTTAGGCCCCTGCCCCTACCCACCTCCTGACTAGCACCTTTAAAACCTTGCTGCTGCATAAACATGAATATTAAAAAACATTGCAAGTATAGCAAACGTTGCGATACAATTATTTACAATGTTCCCTTTCCTCCAAAGCTCTTCCCTGATGTATATTTAAACTAACCCAAATAATAGATTAATTTAAACCAAATTAAACTCACAAGCGCACGAATCAGTTGCAGAAATAAACACAAATATGAGGTCAATCCCATAGAGATTGCTTTTAATACTAATTCAACCAGTTGATTACGTGAAACTTAACTTAACTTAACTAGGAAACGAATGATTGACTAATTGGTTATGAAAAATAATTAAAACTTCAAGTTAAAATTAAACTAGGAATATGAGTAACGAAAACACGCAACGAATGAAAGTTTGAAAGAAATTAATGTGATGAAAGCCTAAGGTCATGAATCCACCAATAACAATCGTATCCCCTTTTCTTCAAGCCGATTGCTATCCAATTACCATGCCAATATTTAAGGTTGTTCTTTCTAAGATATGAATTAATCCTTGGTCAGGCATCAACTCGTGTATCTATATGTGACAGCTATATCCTATTGGTTAGGCATACAGTTAAACACATAAAAATCCATTAAGCACTGAAGAATAATGTCAACCAAGTAGGACTAGTTTGATATTGGTCATCCTCACTAGTTTGTCTACTTTCCTTAATCTTAGTTCCAATAAACCTAATTGATATTGGTCATCCTCTTAGATTTATCTAGTTATCTATAAACAAGTTCACAATGATGGCCAGTCACAAGAACATTCAAAACTAGAATAGATTAAGTACAAAGATTAAGAACTAAACATGGCATGTAATCGAATAATAATCAACAAGATTCTTCGGAAATAATCACGTCATGGCTTCATCATAAACCTTAGAAAAGTATTTTAGTTACATATAGTCATAATAAAAATCACAAAAGAGGTCATGGAAGAAGATAAAACCCGGAAAAGAAGGGTAAGAGCACACTAAACTGTCCTCCTTCACTTTGGACGACCGTTCTTGTGTGTATTTCCTTTTCTTTAGATAGCCTAAGGCCCTCTATTTATTCTAGTGAAACCCTCAAAAGTCTGATAAAAACTATCCTAAAGAAAAAAGAAACCCCTAAATAATTAATGACATAAACTAGGAAAGAATCCTTCTTGACTTGGGAAACACGTCATCTGTCTTGCACGCCAGTTCTAGGGTCTGTTTATCCTCTGGAAAATTCTGTAAAAATATGGAAAACGTAGCTTGATCTCTTATCTTTCCAAGCATATATTGCACACCGCTAGGAAAAGTCGGGAAAGCTTCCAAATATTTTTTCTCCCACAGCTGCGCAGTTCTGACTGGAAAGTTACTTCTGCAGGATTGATTTGTAAAACTGGAACGTTTGGCTCCATGAAAAATTACGAAATTTGGACACAATGATCTTCAGCCTCTTAGCTTCCTTCTCCAATTGGCCTCGATAAAAGCCCAGAAATATAATACATAAGGCCCTTGTGCCGCAAGAATTAAGTCGAAACGATAAAGAATGCGAATAGAAACAATCAGCAAGAACAGAAGGAAGACCAAGCAGATTTTCGACGAAACTAAAGAGCCTAAATCATCAAAATTAAACCCACACAAGCAAAATACTGAACGTCAAATTAAGGTGAAAATTCTCATACCGGTTGACAAGTGGTTGCTCGATAGTATTGGAGCTCTCAACAACAGGGATTTTGATAGTGTTCAGACGGAGGGGGCTTGGTTCATAACAAATATTGCAACGGAGGGGGTCTCCCTCACCGTGGCTTACAAACAGGATCACCCTTAACAAGGGAGTTTTTGCCTGTTATACATATATACATTGCATATGGTGTTCACATCGAAGGGAGAAGCAGTACGGCTACTAATGCATCCCACCATAACCGAGCTCGCCATCCATATTTATTTCTACAAAGCTTTGTTCGGCCTCTCCCATGTCTCTTTTCGCATCCTCAAAATCTAACTCCGCCAAATTTAGCCTAGCCTTCAACCTCTTGACTTCAATCTTCAAAGCATCCATATTATTTCTCAGCTCTTTTACCTCTAGTTCCCTTTCCACAAACTTCTTCATACCCAATGCAGACTGAACATGAGGCTCCAACCAAGCCAAGTCAAATCTGAAGGACTCAAGCTCCTCCCATAAAAGTCGAAGGTGCTCACAAGCATCCTCGTTCATATCTGTACCCTTGTTAGTCTTTAGAAAATGCAGGAGTCGGCCCAAAGCTGTGAATGCCCATTCAGTAAACATAGGACTCCTCTTCCTTTGGCACTCGATCAATGAAGGATGCAACAAACAGACTTCCTCCAGGAATGGAACAAAAGCTTTGTCTATTTTCCCTAAACCCCTGAAATCCATGAGCTCGCCAACTGGGGCAGAGGTTTTTTGCTCATGTTCCTTGCCTATCGGAGATTCAACAGGGCTATCGTCACCCCCAGTACAAACTTGTCCATCACTTGGTCCGTCCCACAAGGTCAGCACTTGAGCAGAACTAGGTGTCGTGACTGCTACTGAAGAGATTAGAACATGGTCAAAATCAGCATTTGTTTGCTTTTGTTCAGAACTTGGTGCATCCTGAAAAGCAAGCACCTGTTCAGAAATAGGCGCTGTAAGTTGTACAGCTTCCACATCTGAATACCCTTGCCTTTCATCTTCATGGTGTGAGGGCTTAGGAGGACAAAACCAAGTTTCCTGGACTTCGGCCATACAGTCAACCTGACTGACAGCAACCTCAGCTTCAAGAACACATGTATCATTCACAATAAACCCTTGGGCGACATCACAAAGCTCACTTAGAGGCATGAATGATGTGAAGCCCCAATCTCTTTTACTTGCGCAGAACACATGTTTAGTTTCTGTAAATCAAAATAAGAAAAACATAGCTCATAGGCAATTAAAGTAATATAACAAAAGAAACTCAACATTACTATCATGTACACAGTAATTCTGTTCTCTGGTGGTCTAGCATGTCTGGGCACCACAAGTAGACATGCTTTCTGAAGAACTAAATAAATCTCCCTTCTATGGGAAAGTAAAAGTTACCACTCTTCTTCCTCTTTAATTTTTTTTTTGGAGAAGAAACCAAAATCTTAATACGAAAATTATCAAATTTACAGCAGCAAAACAATTAAGTTAAATTAGAAGACCAGACATTCAAGCTTCAAGCCACACTCAATCAACTGCTGCAACTTCCCAGTCCAGCAACCATGCTGACGATTGGCATGCATGGATAACTCCCTGAACTCTACATTGACCGAAGCCCAAAGAGTTGACATAAAACTAACTCTACCACAAGCACACCTACCCCTGAACAATCCTTCAAAATCCTCCTAGTTTCAACGTTTCTATCCCCGAAAAACGACCATCACCCTTCAACCTCAGAGTTTTGACTTTCATGCCTTTTCCCATGACATTGAGAACTGCATACTTAACAATTCATAAAATACCTTTTGGAATCGCCCAATTTACCTGAGCCTAATTTCCACCAATCATCATATCTGAGACTTAGTGGGACGCTGTATGTCCAGAACAAACAAGAGAACACACTTTCATATTTCCATTCTTTTTTCCAGCGACATTAAGTACAAAAATTGCTACTGCAACTGATGCCAAAACCTAAAGCCGATAGACAACACTTGGTACGAAGGAGTCTTGCGAAAAACATAACTAGTGCAGACAAAGCAATTTAAGATTGAATTGCAATCCAAAGTAAAATAATAATATTCGAGCAAGTGAGAGCCTGAATGAAAGCGAAACCAACAGAAATGCACCAACATAATTGTGAAATAAACAAGATGAAGGGAGGGCAGTGAGGGGATGTGACTTACCAACTGTTATGGACTTATCATATTTGACTTGGTTGACGACAGTCAAGGTGAATTGGGCATATTTACTCCACCCAGATGGCAATGCTGAAGCATCTGCAACTTTCAAATATATCGACAGGTCTTGTGTTCCAGGGATTCCGCTGCTGCCCTTCGGATATACGACAATTTGCCTGACGGTTAAAACAACATATACATCTTATAAGGAAAGTGATTTTCGCACTCCTATTTTAATCTGGATGGGTCCAGAAGGAGAACAAAAACAAGGTTTGATATTTATATCAAGATTTCATAAAGATGGGTCATCGGCGGACTACTAATCAAACGTATACTGTCCTGTCCTCTACTTGCATCTTACCACATATCAGCATAACAAGTAGGGTTTTATCACAAAAAACCTCAGTGTGCCGTTACAAGAATTGAATAACCAAAGTACATATATACAAGAATTAAAAAATCAAAGTACACATACAAGAATCAAACAACTAAAGTATATATACACAAGAATCAAAAACCAAAGTACATACACAAATGAATCAAACAACCAAAGTACATATATATCAAACAACCAAAGTACATATATACAAGAACCAAAACAACCAAAGTACATATATACAAGAACCAAACAACCAAAGTACACATATAAACAAAAATCAAACCAAAAAATGAAATAAGAAAACGAAGAATGTCATCGAGTAATAATTTGAAGAAGAAAGTGAAACATACCATTCAAAGTCACCGACATTAAAACCATCGGAGTAATGTTTCTGGGATCTCAACCTAGAGAATTTCTCAATCTTCCATGTGAACGTCACCGATACAAGCTCCCCAACTTGTTTTTTCTCCATTTGTTTCTTCTGCAACTCAAATGCACCTAACAATCTATAAAACAAACAAGAAAAACACCAAAGTACATATTTATATACTAACATTTAACACCCAAAAAACCCAGAAATAAAAAAGATACAACGAACACATTCCTTCCTCAAATGAACGAATAAAACTTGGCACTTGCAGATTGAGTGAGAGAGAGGGGAAGATGCAAGAGGATGAGGCAACGACTTATGTAGGTTTCTTCAGATATAATTCGTGGCTCCTGTTTTCCCAGGAGCAAGTGAGCATTACAAGATGCCGTGGCAAACAATAAGCCACACACCGCTCAGGTCTCATTGAACAGGAGGACAGTAGTGGACCCCATGATTGGAAACAAAGCAGTCGCCAATCACGGAAGCTGCCATGTCTACAGTCTACAGTATCAGTGAAATTTATTGTCGACGTGATAACTCGGAGGAGTAACCGTAGAGAGATCAATCTTTTTAAATTAAATTACTTTAGTCTAAAGAAGCTGGCAAAATTGCACTGTAGAAATGAACAGTGTTTTGCACCACATTTCAGTTTATTTATAGGATTGCCGCTCGGTTGTTTTTAACACACTTTCGTTTTATTTACACAATTGCCACTCAGGCTTAAGAATTGATTTTCAACCGTTCGCAGCTTTCGACTCGGGGAGAGAGGGGAGGGGATATCATGGCTGACAGATTGGAGAGAGACGATGACTCCAATTTTTCACTCGGAGACAGCTGGCTGTCGCTGTGTCGAGCGGAGAGAAAGGGGGACAGAGCGACTACAGAGCAGGGAGACACAGGGACTGCATTTCAGCTTTGACTCGGGAAGAGAGGGGAAGGGGACATCACGGCTGACGAATTTGAGAGAGACAGTGGCTCCCATTTTTGAGTCGGAGACAGCTGGGTGTCGCTGTGGCGAGGGAAGAGGAAGGGGACAGAGGGAGTGGTGAGGATGGAAACAAAAAGACTGACAGATTGGAGAGAGATGGGAGCTACGGGTTTGGTGCCAGGGTCTATAGGATTTTCTGCGATTTTAGACAGAGGAATGAACAAAGAGAGATATACAGAACGGAAAGAATGCGTGTGTGCATTGTTTAGGGTTCAGAGGTTACGCACAGAGTCGGTGAGGACGGGATGGGTGAGGGAGGAATGGCAGGGTGTGGGTTTTCAGCTTTCTCCCTTGATTCAAAAGGTAATGCACTGTATTTCCTTAATTGTTTAGTGTCTAATTTGCCATTTGCCTTGTTAACATTGCCATTGATATTTGGTTCTTTCATTCAAATTGCAATGCATTTTAATAATTTTTTCGGTTGGTGCTAGGATTAGGCTTCAATTTTTGTAATTAGGGCCTTGCCCTGATTTAATTTATTTGTTTCTTGATAAATTTTTGTATGATTCATCATTTTTCTGTTTAGCAATTGTTACAAATTTTGTATTCCTTCATCAAACTTATCATAGATCTTTGTAGATTGTTTAGGTCACCTTAGGGTTAATTCTATTTCAGTTTATTGTTTTAAATTGTTGTTCACTGTTTACTTTGCCATTGCATTTATTAAAATTGTCATAGATATTTTTTCTATCATTAATGCTCTCATAGATATTTTATATTGGTTAGCTAACTATTAGGGTTTCCTCTTAGTCATTTGTAGGTTGTTTAGTTCACCGATAGGTTAGCTGGATGTCCAAACTTATCCTACAACCTAATCCAATATCCTAATAACCATAATGTACATTTATTTGTGGTGCTCCATTTAATATAGTAATTTTAGAAAGGCAATACCTCTGGATCATCCAGAAGCTTTAAATTACCAACAGATTATGCATTCAGCAAGTCACTGACATTCTCATTGTATGTCTCAAGTCCTTAAATTTTTATTGCAAACTTTCTCTGGAGTCTGCAAACAAACAATAGCAACACCTGCTTAGTAAGTCAAACAGCAGAGATAAAAGCAGAAAACCGCAATTGTTCGTGCAGAAAGAAAAATATCACCATAAATAATTATGTGGTTGTTGATTCTGTTGAACATATGTACAGAGGTATCAATTAAAATTTCGAAGCCATGAACATATACAAGAAAAAAGCAATGAGGATCTAAAAAAGTATGAACCAATAAACCAAAAAAAAGCTTATGAGTAAACAAAATTAAGACTCCTTTTTAAGTTTATTGTTTTTAAATTAGGATCTGTAGGCTGTTTAGCTCACTATTTAGTTCACTGTTACGGTGATATTTCTGTCTTTATAACCAAAGGGCTTGCACTGTTTTCATTTTTGTGTTTCTTCATACTTTCCTACTGCTTGCTTCTCAACAAATCAACTTCAGGTTCCTTTTCCATTTCACATCATTCGAATATCCATATGTTGCTAGGTTGTTATTTCATTTCTTGGTTTCTTATATATTTCTGAAATGCATTTTTTATTTGATTCTTGATATGCATGTAGATCCAACATAACCATACAGATCAAACCATCCATTCACACAGGAGCCACAAAACAGACCATTAGTGAGGTATCTGTCTGTCCATTTAAAATTTTCTTTATACAAAATAATTTCTAATACAAATCTCTTTACTATGTTTCAATACAAACTCTTTTTCCTTCTATTTTTTTGCTATATGATGTATCCTTGCAGCTCAAGTATGTGCACTTTTTTCAGAAACAGAGTCTCATCCGCTCGAATCTCGATTTCCTAGCAGCAGGTATATGCTAAGCCTTTCACAATCATCTATTTCAGTCATTAGAATTTTTTTTCCTTCTAATTTTTTGTTGATACAACAATGATTGATTATGCATACTTGACTACATCTTTATGAATGGGTTTGACAACCACACTTAACTTTTTCTACTTAAAGCATTGAATTTTTGCTTTTTGTTTTTTTGTTGTTGCCTTGATTGTGGTTATCAAAATTTGTTGTATTAGCAGCCCTACTGCATTTGTTGGGTTTTTTAGGCATGAGACTACACAAACAAAGAAAAGATAACATAGTTGTAAAGCTTAGGCTCCAATCAGGTAAATTGTGAGATTTCGAACACGGAGATTTAGTCCATGTTTAAAAACTGCCAAATACATTGGCAACTGTTAAGAGCACGAACTACAAATATGTAAAGTAAAAAAGCTTGCACATAAGTTCAAACGATCAACTGTCAACCTATGATTGTTACTGTTTTTTAGCTGGACGTTATCATTCTAACATGGTATCAAAAGAGATTATAAGCGTGTGTGGTCTTAAACCACCTAACACCATGTATAAACAAATAATTAACATCTAAAGATGGAGACATGCAACACGAAACCTGCACATCATAGCAAAACCTAGATGGATCCTTAATATTCCTTATGACAGTGATTAAGTTATACACATAACTCTTGCTCCATAATTACATCACTTCCAAATGCAGCTATGGGGTGAAAACCTACCAACCCCAGCTAGCATGAAAAGAGAAAAAAAGGGTCCATATGGCAATCGAAATACCTTGGGCTTCTTAATGTAATGCTTAGAATCACACTGCTCCAGCCTTATCATTCTCCTCTTAGCGTCCTCATTCTGATATTTTGAGCCTGCACATAGAGAATAGCATAAAATTACAATTTATAAGGCATATTGATGCAGTGAACCTACATCACATATGCCGTGATTAGAAATGTTCTAATGTTCTATTTCAAAACATATCATTTACTATGAATGCTGTATCATCTGTCAGTTAAGCATGAATGCCACATAATAAACACACTCATTACATAAATGTACACCATTGTACTGATAATACTTACAGAACCTGGAACTAATGGCTATAGTGTATTACTAATTTGGTGTAGCTTTGCTAGGATCTCTGTTTCACCGATGTGTGATTAGTGGTAATAAAATTTTGCCACTGTCTCTGAGCTATTATTTTCATTGCTGTTCTGTGAGTTAGTGCTAATTGATTTGCTTTGTTTGCGATTTTCAGAAAGTTGGATCGTTAGCCGAAAAACTTGCCCCTTTGACTTCTGAGGTATATTATTTAACACTGGTTTAATTACTGTTCTTACATTTTTTTGTGCACATCGGGATTATATGTAGCTATCTAATTATGCCATCCTTTGACTATGTATGAGCACGATAGCAGTAGAATGTGTGATTGTTACATCCTAAGTTGGTGTAATGTAAAAAAAATTTGTGCCATCAAAGCTACACTGACACATAATTCTAAATAAAAGGCAGTTAAAAATGATCAGCGTGGATGGACATGCTGTGAGAGGATTGATTCCAAAATACATCTTAACAGCTTTATCCGGCTGATAATTCAGAACATTATCAAGTCTAAATGACTGGTCGTTAGTTAAACCCTTCTGAGATATACCCTTTGTTTGTTGCACTCTCACAAATTTAATCCGTTCCACCATCACAGTTTTTTTAGCTTTTACAGTTTTCCCACGGTTTCTGGAATGCTTTTTCGATCTTAATACTATCTGCTCTGTTGCTTGCTGTTATCAAATTTTAAAAATTGAAACAACGTTATAGTTCTAACCAAAATTTGTGAAGGCCAAGGATGTAACCATCTTTGGTTTCACATTGTTAATTTGAATTATGAAGTTATGAGTGAATAAATTGGGAGTCTGAAATGTGTGTCTGCCACATGGGTTGGGTTGGGTTGTATTAGCGACTCTGTGTGAGTGTAGAGGTGGGTGTGGAGGTGGAGGTGGAGGTGGTGGGGTGGTGGTTTTGTTTTTGCGCCATCCCAAGATCAAGGAGAATACATGTGAGAAAATGTGATGAGTTTTAAACTCATCACTCACTTATTAGTCAAGTCAACCATTTTCCACTCAACTCTGATCTGCCAATTTGCCAATTGCCATATGGTTTTAATTTGAATAGGTTTAAGGATTAGGTTTGGTTGGATTTCAACCATTAGATTTCGGATTAAAAGCATTAGGTTGAACGATTAGATTTGGTTGGATTTCAACCATTACATTTCATAGATTTGAAATCTGTTTACTATCTCATTTAATTGTTGTATGTTACCTCATTTAACTCAAATTTAATGATATTTGGTCCTCCAATTTCTCGGATTTCCTAACGGATTTACTTTCTTTGGAAATTTCAGGAACCCTGATTCTGGGAGGAAAAATACACTGCATTGCCATCTTTAGGTATACAATTCTGCACACTGATTACATGTTCAAAAGCCTAATTAGTTATACACCATTTTTTTTATTACCTTTGCAAAGCTTTTGTACTTAGATTTTAAATATGTGATTAGTTTGTAAAGAATAAACGAAACAACTAATCATGGGTACATACTTCTTTTTCGATTTTATCCTCTGTATTGTTTCCTGAATGAAATTGGATTCATGGATGTAGGGATACAGCAACAACTGAGGTGTGAATAAAAGGTCTAGCCGTAACGATTTTAGGGTTTAGAATTGATTCGAAAATATGAGAAAATGCTGCATTCTCTGTTTTTTTTTTTTTTTTTTTTTTTTTTTTTTTTTTTTTTTTTGTTGCTGTAGTGATTCCAACTTAGTATATACCCATTTTTATAGTACCATGAATAAAGAATATGCAATTGCTAGGATCTCAATTTGATAATCCCATTATAAATGGATCTATATAAATCAAGGCTAATTCAGTCCAACTTGATATGGTATGACTTAATATAACATATCCTTTGATCTTTATATTACTTATGGTTTTCTGTAGTGGTAGTTTAATTAAAATCGAAAAATATAATAAGAATGAGGTTACTCATTCATTATATTTTAATATTTTCTAGGTTTTAAATTAACTTTGATCTATCCAAATATGATGTTAATCGATTCTGAATCAATAAATAAGATTTGGTGATCCAAATAGGATTCAAATCTGTTAATTCAATTTCAAATATGATGTTACATGTACTGTAGATTGGTCACAGCCTAATAAGAAGACTAACTGGAAGTGATTTAGCCCTTCATTCTCATTTTTTTTGTTCAGTCCAGTGGCAAGAAAAAATAAGGGTGCCTGAAAATCAGTTACCTAAGCATATATGTTTAACAGCTTCCTTCACTGTAGATTAATATCCAACGATTCTAACCTATATTATATTGTTTATATACTTTTGGAAGTATGTCATAATCAATTTGATTTTCTATTGGTATGTGTGAAACCAATTTGATTCAGGTTACAAGGTTGAGGGTTGCGGATAGTTAATCATGTTCAATAACCTTAGTTACAGTGCCATTCACTTAAATTTTGTTTTCAAGTTATAGAAATACGGCATTTCATTCTTACTTAATATAAGCTTTCATTACATCTTCAGTTTCACATCATTCATCATTGTATTTGCTAATATCAGTTTTTAGTGTGATAAGCTTACTGGTGTATTGTTAAAAGGTAGTGAAATAATCTGTGCTTGACGACTTACCTGCTCAAACAGCGCTTTTTGTGTGTTTTGTTAACTGCTAAGTAGGTTTTTAGGAACTTTGTATTTTCATGTTTTCACGAATTTAGAAAACAGTTTTGACGATGGAGATTGCCTGTTGAGTGGGAGGACTTGGCTTTTGGGGACATGATAAATTCAAATTTTAGCAGATGTTTGTTTCCTCCATTTTCCCAGTTTGTTGGTTTCTAATTTCTCTTTGGAATCAATTGAACCTCTTCAGTGTGGTGTGGTGTGAGTAGATAACATTGTAATTGGTATTGTTTAAAGAATCCACAAAATGCTGTCTGTTTATCTCCTATCAGTTTAATCTTCTTCTTCTGGGTGAAGAGAATGAATTGGCAGAAAAAAGTTTTGATTTTGCTTATTGGGTTCAATCCTTTTCCTTCCACAAACTGTTTGGTTGCCGAGAAAACGATGGAACAGGAAGAAAATAAACATTGATTTGGTTGTATTAATTTTTCCTCATTTGGGTAATTACAGATGCGTTCCTCTTATGTAAGAGATGAGTTCTTGAAACCAGAAGAAGTTATTGTTGAATTGATGCTGAATTAGATGCATTTAGATTTAATTAGTTATGAATTATCCATTTTTCTAATCAGCCATTCATTCTTTTCCTTTTCAACATGAGTTGGCCAAAATTTTCTTTAACCATTGAATGAAGTGAAAACGGATGTTGGTTTGGTAGATGGTTTTATGAAATTCGGTTGATGAAACTGAACCATGTAGTTGAATTTAGCTCAGTTGTGTGCTGGTTCGAGTTTTCTTATGTGTCTGTTTCTTTAGTTTCATATGGAAACAGACCTTCTGCTTATTTTTTCCTTTGAACAATTGTGGTTACAAAATTAGCTACTTGAACGAGTCCTCAACACTTTCTATCTTTAATTACATCTTGAAATGGCTGCCTACACTGCATGACACATCGACATCCTCAAATGAATGCTTCTTCTTTTATTAGAGTTGCAATAATCTTCCCATACATGTTGTAATACCCACATGAGCTTGCCAAGGGTACTTACTGGGTGCTAATTTCAGGTTCACGTACAAGCTAAAGTTCCATAAGGAGGTGCAAGCAGAAGAAGAATTGGCATCACCCTTCAGTTTTTCAACCAAAAGGAGGTAACCTTTATAAATGATTTATACAAACTTCTCTGTTTTGTATCTCTGAAATTTGAGTTCTTTCACTAAAAATGTGAATAGGGATTAGTAAATATTTCGCATTTTTTTTTCTATGGGCCATTTGTGTTCTATTTCAGTTGTATTTTGAGTCGTGTAATATAAATTGCATACAAAAGGCTAAAGAAGTAAATCCAGTATACAAGCTCTCACGGTGAAGTTGAAGTTGAGACTACACTATGGAATGTTAAATATTTAGTCTAAATTTGAAGACCGAAAAATAAAATAACTTAGAAGCTAAAATGAGTAGAGTTAACTTTTTTGCCTCAAATATCCTTAGGTGGGCACAAAATTTTGACCATAACATCCAAAATTTTGATCCCAACAACGTCGATAAACATGATGTCAGACGATTGATTCCAAAACACATTTTAACTACTTTATCCAGCTGATAATTCAGAACATTATCAAGCATAAATGACTGGTCGTCAGTTAAACCCTTCTGAGATTTACCCTTTGTTTTCTTTAAAATTGTAATGGATGTTTATAAGCTGTTTAGTTGGGTGTTGGGGAGATTAGGCTGTTGAGTGCACTGTTTCGTACAATGTTAGAGTGAAGTTTCTGTCTTTAAGAAATGGAGAAACAATCTAATTTTTCTCATATAGTGGAAGGTATTAATTTAGACTAATCAATGTTATTTAAGATCCAATCTTTTTTTATCTTTTCTAAAAATTTTTGCACTCCTATCAAAATTATTTTTCCTTTGAATATCATATCAAGTGAGATAATGTAAAACATAATTCCTCATGCATGTTCTGTATTTTAATTTATTCTGGACAGATGCTGGCCAAAATTTATTTGTTGTTCTAAAATCCATAATTTCCTTATTTGTATTATGTCTGCTCAACTTCGGTTTAGACAAAATAGTATATTTATCAATATATACCTAAGTATATGTCTAAATATATGTATAGGCATCTGCATAGCTATATGTATATGTATGCATATATACATGTGTATGTACATGTGTATGTATGCATCTGTGTGTGTATGTACATGCCTATATAGGTATGCATGCATAGATGTGTATATAACTATATATGCATCTTTTTTTTTACGTCCATGCATATAATATGATCATTGAATCTGTTGTCAAGACATACTATATTAAGGATCTTGCAATCATGAATTTGGTTGAAATGACTATTAGTACTGATTCAAGTGTTTAATCTTTTTGATTGTGGAATGTTTAATATTTAAAACTATTTAGTCATTATTCTTAAGATATAAAGTGAATAATGAAGGCAAGCCAATTGAGGTGTTTCTAATTTGTATCAGTTCAGGCTCTAAAAAATTAGTGTTTGTTTTCGACAATTTTTGATATTTTCTATTATTTTAGGCCGTACATGAAGTGTAATGTGGTATGCATGCTAGGTCGTGAACCATTATTTGCTCTATTTAGCCTATTCCTTCTAAAACCAACGTTCTCACACTCTAACCCCTGTACTAATTCAAAACCGATTACGATACCTCATCCTTACTTTAGGCCTTTAAATTAATATGGTGACAGAAGATGCATTCCCATTGTTAGCAACTTTTCTTTTGTTAAATGTGAATTTGTCGTACATTAAGTCCATTAAACTGTCCCAGTTAGAGTCCATTGCACTGTCGCAAATTGAGTTACTTTTCCTGTATCCATTTGTTTGCGCTTCGAATTCTAACTCTCAATCTCATTGATTTGTTGTAGTTTAGATCAACGTGTTATTGCAACGTTGTGATCTACTCTTCTTGCTGCCTTTCATCTAGGGATCCGCACCTATTGCATCTGAATCAAGGCTTTGGTATGTCACCTAAACTAAGATACATTGTTTCCCCGTGCTTTCTGGTTGAGTTAATGCAGATTTATCATGTTTCAGTCGATTGTTTGGTTTTATCAGCTTATGTCATTCGTTTGCTACCTGCTTTGTTTTCATTCTTCGTTATCTCTGTGATCTTTTGGTGGTATCTACACGTTTGGTTAGTGCAAGAAGATTTGAATTTTTTTGCTCTTGCTTTCCTCCACTGTAACGGCTTTTTGGGCTTTCACTGTATAAAGATGGAACAGTTGTTAGATAAGATAAAGCATTACTACAAACAACTAAGGGGAAATATGAAAGATCATAGAGAAAATTCTTAGTAGTTATACAATCACAATTTAAGTTACTTTTATTGTAACTGTTTGTTTGCACTTCAAATTATTAATCTCAGTCTCACTGCTTTTTCGCAGTTTAGATTGTGCTCACATTGTTCAATCATAATCTGCTCTTGCTACTGCCTTTAATCAAGGGGTTCCGAACCATTACGTTTCAATCAACCCTTTGGTATGCTCTGAACTTCAATACATTGTTTCCCCATGCTTTCCATTTCAGATAGTGCGATTTTATAATTTTTAACATAACTGTTAGGTTTTTTCACCTCATATTAAACGTTTGTTCTAAGCTTTGTTTCTCATTCTTCGTTATCTTTGTAACCTCTGATACTCCAAAGGTCCGATAGTTCGTTTTTTTTCGTTTAAATTTTGTCTATGCAATTCTGTTATTGTGTGAAAGTCTCTGAGTCTCTGTGATTCTTATCTAACCCAGTGTTTTTAATTGTTTATCAAATGTTCTTTGTAACCTTTGTTTCTCCAAAGGTCCGATAGTTCTTTCTTTTTTTTGGTTTAAATTTTGTCTATGCAATTCTGTTATTGTGTGAAAGTCTCTTGGTGTCTCTATGATTCTTATCTAACCCAATGTTTTTAATTGTTTATCAAATGTTGTTAAGCATTTTATATGTTTTCTTTTGGTTGCTTCCTTTCTTTGTTACGTTCTCACTTTACCAAACCGTTCTTCGAAGGTTAGTTACTTTGGTTGGTTGGTCTTTTCGTTAGGTTTATTTGGTTGGTTGGTTTTAAAACATTTACAAGAAGGTATAACTTTGTATTATTATTTTGTGCATTTGTTTATTTTTGTAAACATGACTTCACTACTTAGTTGTTAAATCACGTTATTCAATTTTGAATTTAATTTGGTCCTAAATTGTTTATATATCTAGATTAACGGAGGAGCAAGCAATTTGTTTTCTGACGCCATACCAGCCAGCAAACAAACTCCACATCAGGGTATGCAGAATATGGGTCACGAAAAGCATTGGAGATAATCCTCAACCTATAAGTCTTGATTGCGTCTTCGTTGATAAGGATGTAAGATTTTTACACCTTCTTACTTATCGTTCAATGCTAGCATTTTTACGTATCCAAATGTGCATGCCATGTTCTCAGTACAACAAACTTTGTAATCAAACATAGACTAAATTCCACAAAGAAACTGATTTATACACTTTGCTACCCAATTATGCATCGCTTACATAATTACCATTTGTCTAATTAATTGTTTCACTAGATATGATCTTGGGCTTAACATTAAATTTATACTGGGTTAACAAGTTCATGCAAATAAACAACAAATGAAAAACTTATTTTCTCCATATGATGGCATGTCTTTCAATAAATTTTGTTCAAAACAAAAAAAAAAAAAAAAAAAAAAATTTCACAGTGCACCATGCACACTTTTCCTATCTTTGGATTTCACTACAAATATTATATTTTGTTCTGTTTGAGGAAGCTTTTATGCCTCTAGAAACAAAACTAAGTATGAACTATCAAGTCTTCTTTTCCTTAATTTTTCTTCATTGTTTTTAAACCTATACAAATCAAACTAAATGTCATTTTGCAAGGTTGCTTCAACTACTAACGATTTGATTCTTTGAATAATCTCCACTGTTATCTTGCATATGATCTTAAATGCTATCTAAGTAGCCACAAGTAGACTGTACATGTTTACGTGATTCTTAAACTATATGCATTAAATGTTATCCCACTCATTTAGTATTATGTCTAATCTTAAAATTCCACTTCTAAAAGAGAGATGCGGTTCGCGGAACCATCAACGGTCGAGACATCCAATTTTTTTTGGACCATCTAAGTGTCGGCAATGCATATGAAATCAACAAATTTCGTGTCATTCACAACAAGAGATCGAGCAAGGTTGTCCCTCATGCAGCTATCATTGAATTGAATAGGAAAACCACAATCGTTCCTATTCACAAAACAAGTCAAGAACTCCCAATGCACTGGTTCAATTTAATTGAGCTTAATCAACTTCATCAGAGAATCGACAACGATGTTGAGCTTACAGGTAACAAATTTAGTTTCAAGTGCCGCTCAAACATCTAAGTTGATCATTTATATGTTTTTGTTGCCTTCAGTGTCCACTCATTCCTCCCATTAAATATTATATGTAGATGTGTTTGGTTGCCTAACGGCTGTGCAGCCAACTGAAGAAATCACTATCCAGAACACAAGAGTTGCAAAGAAGAGAAATCTAAACTTGCAAAACATTAGGTAATTTCTATTTACGTTAAACTCTAAATATTATTTATATGCCACCCTATTTATGACATATACCAAACCATCATCTTTTGTATTACTTACAGAGACGAAACAGTGAGAATAACCTTATGGGGAGAGACTGCAACAGGTTTTGAGACCAGTGGAATACAAGCACTTTTGCCACCCGTATTTTGTGCTTTCACAAGCCTGAAAGTAAAACAATACCAAGGTTATACCCTGCCATGCTTTATCTAACTACTTAAAGTTTCAGTTTGTTAATTGTTATCTCCTATTTATAGGAAAACCTGTTCTCGGAAGCACAGGATCAACCGTTTGTGTTTTCAATCCAGAGATTCCACAACTCTCTGAATACAAACACAAGTAAATCGACAACCCTTCTTTAATAACTTTTTCGTTTATATTTCTTCGATTAATCTTTCTCACCCTAAACATGCACAAAATAGGTTTAAGCATAGCATATCACCTCTTCAAATCCTGCCCACCTCAGCTGAGATGTATACGGGCCGTGCAGTCAGTGCTACTACTAAGTCAAAAACAATTGACGAATTGCTTTTACTTGATCCTGCCTTGCACAAGGTTAGTTTGTCATCACCAAACTATTCACCGAAACCACCTCTTTTTACTAATAGATTTTCGTGCTGCATCTAACTTGACCATCTCTTGCTTTGCTTCTCTATCTGTTTATACTCCATGTTTGCAAAGTTAATTTCAAAACCTCATGTTTCCATAACAGAATGCAAGTTTCGTATGCCAAGCAACTATTGTTGAATTCGATTTGACTAAGGGCTGGTGGTACAAATCATGCCTGTCTTGCCATAAAGTTGTCAAGAAAAACTCTGAATCGTTTGAGTGCAATGAACATGGGTTCATAAACAGATTACCCGAACCATGGTAATATACTTTTACACCTATTTTACATATGATGCTTATAATACATTGCTGAATCCTTTTTTATTATCTTGCGATTATGACAAATAAGTCGTCTCCCCAAGGATTACATAATACATAAATGATCCTTCATCCATACAAAGGATGCCCTTTTGGTGTGCATCCTAGGCCTTGCTATAAAAAATTCATTCAACAATCATTTCGAAAATTCTTCTTTGGTTATCACTTTCTGCTTAACAGCTGTGATTCTAAATAGGACCATTGTCAAATATCCTTTTAAATTTGTTCCAATTAAGAATTGTAGCCTACAACAATCTATTTTCTATGTCATTGGGTTGCACTCATCCTTATTTTATGTGTTTTAGTCGTGCTTATTCATATTTACACATGTTCATTAGTTTGGAATTAAACCTCCAGTGCACAACTTTTGAACATCATATTAATTGTTAAACTATGCCTTACAAACTTTGGGAACCATCATTTCCATTTGTGCTTCTACATTATAGAGCCAGCAGCTAAAATCAGCTTATAATGTTGTTCCATGATTCATTAACTCAAAACTTTCAAACATACACTTCTCATTCTGCACAATATGTTGATGTGAGGTAAATTAATTCTAAATAATTTGTCTTTCTATCCATTTTATACATGCATACCCTGCATTACAGTGGTTCTATTGCATTTGGTACATTACCCACAAGATTGCTATTAGCAGTATTGTTTTCCTAACAACCAAATATCCTCATCTTACCTAGGTTCAAAATAGATCTTATTGTGGAAGATAGCACAAATCAGCACAACTTCCTCATGATAGGAAGACATGCCGAAAAAATACTTCGTGTTTCTTGCCACACTCTGGTGATTGAGGATGGACATGAGGATCCTTTCATACTTCCACCAGCTCTAAAAAATTTGGTCGGCACAACAAAACAATTTCAGCTCTCTTTTGGAAATCAAAACACTGACTTTGGAAAGACAGACTTCATAGTTCATGGACTACTCCAAGATCAACCGCTTTCGAGCCCAACAATTGCCTTGGTCACACCAAAAACACCTACTCCCTCCGTAGGAATACATATTATGACTCAAGCGACCCCCAGCCTAGTGATGCCTTCTCACCGACCAAATCAACAACCCCAGTTAGTTGCACCCACAAAGACTTCAAAAAGAGCATTGTTTCCTAATGAACCGGACAAATCTAACAGGTAAAGTTTTCTCTTGCTTTAAAATCTCATGTGTAAATCTTCCAAACCATGCTTCTCTTAGGTATACTACAATTTTAGACTTAGAGTGTTTACAATTTGATACCCCATTGACCATGGGATTCCATTTCACTCTTTTTTTTTTATTGGTTTGTTATGTTTTAACTTTGATTAGCCAAAACAATGTTCAACGATATTTCAGTCTTCTTTTGATGAAGTTCTCAATTCAAGAGCATATATATATATATATTTGAATTTTTACTATTTAAATTGTGTTGAGCTTGCGTCTGACTTAGTGCTGGTGTTTGTGAGTTTCTAAATTTCTTCCAATAGCTTACTTTTAGTTGCTTTTGATTATATATTTCTCTTCAGAACAATTCTTCCACTTGCATTCTTACCAGCTATACTATTGCAAACCAAGGCAACATATTTGAGCTCTGTTTTTTCTTACTATAGGTTTCATAATGAACATCTACTTCTTCTTTGCTTTTTCAACACTTGATTCGATTGCACATGATTTTTTGTTGTTTTTGTACCTGTATCACTAATTTTAACACTGGAAGGCCGTGCTGCATTCACTGTATCAATAATTCGAACACAGCAGAAATCAAACTGATTTCCATGTTTCTTTACTTCTTGCCGCAAGGGAGAAATGAAATTTACACGAAGCTGGGTTTCCAAAGTTGTCTTCTCTCACTGATCCCATTCTCCCTTCCCTAGATGTTCTCTAACCTTATAAATTTGTACCTTCATTGACAGCAAAAAACCTCGTGGCGACCAAACAGACACAACCAATTCTGCTAGAATTGCTAAAGAATTCCACAATCTGGTTGTCCCCAAAATTGAACCAGTAGACAAAGTGCCGATAGCCACACTCAGAACAAAATCTCAAACCAAAAAAACCAAAGATAGGTAAATTACAATTTGTTTTTCCAGCATACACCTACATAATAAACATCATGGTAGCATTTGTTAAACTATGATTTATATTCTTTGTTATAGTGCGGAAGATGTCCACTCTCAGAAAAAGTTAACACCACAATCTCCGTGATCGACTGCAGCAAGGCTTTCTACATCTTTTTGCCTTTCAACATTTTAGCTTAAGGACTTGGCTGCTTCAACAACAACGAAACACTCTTTTTGTTTTTTGGTAACTACTGAAACAGATAACCAACCTACAAGACATATTTTGCCATCTTAAATGTAATGGCAAAATATGTGTGGACAACATGTTACTCCTGTTTCTTAAGGAAACAAACGTCTTCCATAGTTTTTACTTTGCGCGTTTGTGCTTCAAAACTATGATGCTAGAATAAGAACAAAACAGTTTTTATATGTTTTGTCAACTGCTCAAACATGTGCCTAACTTAAATGACATCTATTTTGCCACCTTTACTACAGGGCCGACATTTGTGTAAACTACATGTTACTTCTGTTTATTAAGGAACCAAAACGTTTAGTTTCGTTCTGTTAATTGATCAATGTCTTTTCACATCAGTTAAGTTGAATGTATATAAAAACAAAACTACATATCTTATCAACCCCATTCACACATCTATCCCTCTCTTCATTCTTCATTGTGTTAAATTTATTCAGATAAAACATATCTTCATCATACAGCTCAACATCATGTATTCAAGTCCCGCGGCATCGCGCGGGCACATTTTCTTGTTTACAAACTAAATAATATAGTTGTAAATAATTAAATTATTAATTAAATGTTAATTAATATACTTATTTTTTATAGGTGATATATTATTTAGTTTGCAATTTGGTTTAAAAAATTTGATCTTCTTAACATTTCTCCATTTTAAAGTGTAAGGGGGTAATGTCAAACTTACACGATAGGATGAGACTAATTATGGGGCCACTGCACAAGCCTTAACGATGTTAAATACAAACTGTCGATATTTGGGGGTGGAACTAGATATTTGCCCACAAAAAAAAACAAAAAAAAAAAGGTTGATGTACCCTACAAATGAGCACCACACACCTGGCCTATATTTGCCATCTTTTTAACACGTTGCATACTCTATATATATATATATATATATATATATAATTTTTTTTTTTTAGTTAACCACTGTCTTCTCTTTTAAATTGATACATATTTCACTTTTAACATGTTGCAAATAATCTTCCCTGTTAATCTCATATTCTCCTCATTGTCAAGCGCTGGTGTAGTTATTGCCATCAATAGAGGTGGAGGTGAATATCTTGCAATGAATTCATGGCGGTGCATTGTGGGAGTCAGTCTTGGCACTTGCAAAGAGAGTGAGAAAACAGAAGAGGGAAGAGGATGAGGCAGTGACTTATGTTTTGTGGATTTTCTTTACATTTCATGGCTCTTGTTTCCTCAGGAGCAAGAGGGAATTACAAGATGACGTGGAAAACCATAAGCCACACACTGCTCAGGTCCCACTGGATAGAAGGAAAGTAATGAACCCCATAATTGGAAACAAATTAGGATCAGTTTCCACACAATAGATGTGACAAATTATGATGCCACTCCACAAGCCTTTACGACATTTTATACAAACCGTCAACATTTTGGAGTGTAACTAGATACCAAATACCCAAACAATTGATGTACCGCACAAATGAGCGCCCTGACACCTGTCCTGTTTTACTTATGTTGCCATCTTTTTGACACGTTGCAATCAATCTTCCCCTTTAATCCCTAACTTTTCAGGAAAAAAAACTGAAAAAAAAAAAGAAACAAAAGAAAAAGTTAACAGAAGGGTAATGCTAGAGAGACATGTATAAGGTGAATAGCTACTTTGTTTTTGGAGCAGAAGGCTCCATCTTTGGAGAGGAGACCAGCACACAAAGTCGCCCAAAATTTCTAGGGGTGAGGTGAGATTTCACTGGCTCTTTGGTATTTATAGGTTTCACATTGAAATTCTCCAAAATCCACCTATTCACAAATTCCTTCAAATTCAATTCGTTTTCCAATACACCTAAATTTTTAGAGACTTTGAAAAAATCACAATTGAATACATCTAGATTTATAGGGATTTTTAAAAAGTCTCTAGAAATCTCAATTGAATAAACCTATATTTCTAGAGACTTTTAAAAAGTGTTTATAATTCTCAATTGAATACACCTAAACTTTTATGAAGTCTTTTAAATTCCTAATTGAATACCCCTAGAATTATTAATTCCCTGAAACTCTCTCAGAATCTCAATTGAATACACCCCCCTAAATTTGTAGATAAAGTTTTGAAAACTAAAGGATATGGAAGTTGATGATTGGTTTGTTACTTACACATTGATAAACGTACTTATTCCAATTAGTGACACATCATTTAGTTTGCAAATATCTCCCTAGCATTACTTTTAAAAGAAATGCTAAGGAGAGTCTCTCAAAGTGGGACGCTTCATGGACTCTCTGCCATCTCATCTTTTTTTTGTACAATGTTTTATAATGTTGGCATTGGAATTGTGCCAAGAAGATGAGTGGCAGAGAGTCCATGGAGAGTCACACTTTTGAGAGAATATTCTTAACATTTATCAAAAGTTAGGGTAAATTACATTTTACACCCCCAGGTTTCGGTGCAATTACAACCTCATACAACATTAAAACATTTCAATCTCATAAATTTAGTATTATTTTGTTTACAATTTCATATAACTGTTAAAAAGTCTGTTAAATTAACTATTAAGTGATGACGTGGCAAATATAGGGTTCATTTTTATAAATTTATCTCAGATTTAACGAAAGACTATGCCAAAAAGGCTAAACAAAACACTCAAGAATTTAAGGGTCAAATCAAGTCCATCAAATCTAGAGTACAAGATAATTGGATTGAATGCGTAACTTTGATGCAAGTACACGTGTGAGTACCTAACTTGATTTTGTGGTGGCAAGTCGAGATGGTTGAGCGCAGACTCGACTCGATTGGTAGTCTAAGGTAATCTAATAGGTGGGAACTTAGACTTTTTCCCATTCCAATATTCACAACTTGTTACAACATAACCTCAAGGATATTCAATCACCAATGGTAATAATTCGCTTGATAGGGTGTTAATGGGTGATTGAATGACTGATGGTCTCAGCTAAAACTTTCAGATTTGAGTGGTTTTCTATCTGCTTTAGAAATGATACGAAGTGTTGTAGGGTAAACACGAACTCAAAGTTAACTAAAATGCCTTCCAGTACCAGGAGGTGAATATGGGATTACGGTCGAAATCAATGTTAATCGAGACGTTAGTCTAGCAAAGTCTAGAATGAAGGATTATACCAAGTGGTCGAAAGTATAGTCCTCATGGACTGATAGGTAATATGTTGAGTGAGTGAGTTGATGAACAAATACTGAAACATCATCATAGTCTCCACGTGTACAAGGTGGTTTGTACAGGAAATCTATAGTGACATTCACCCATTTCTATTCGCATCCCCAGTGGGTCCTCGAAAACCTAAAAAAGACAAGGATGGAAATTTCTTCCTAGCTTTAAATAGGAATAGATAGAAATTGAGATAAGCTCAATGGCTTCCATCCATCTGTTTCCATTTACCAGTAGATCAAGTATTTCCTCACATATTCAATGATATCCCATTCATACAATACCAGTAATAAAATGGACGAAAAACAATGATACAATTTAGTACTGCCAGCATGCATGACATATCATGGCATACGATGAAATGTGAGCCTCATCAAGAATTTTCCTTTTTCACAGCCTCATTACCCTTAGGCAAAAGTAATTTGTTTCTTATCAACAAAGTTCCAACTCCTCAGATTTTCAAATCTTGTCTCATGTCATCTGACACTTACTCCTTCAAACTTGCACATTACTGATCAAATTCTTGGACATTTCACACGAAATCTACCGATACAGATCTAACTTAGAAGTGAGCCGACAATACTCACTGTGGATCGTGTGCCAAAGTAAAGCCAATTCCTCAAAGAGAAAGCAATAGTGGGATATGGATAGCTTGGAGGGAGGTAAGCTGTCCATGTGATTTCTGACTAAGAGCATTAACTACGACATTTGCTTGACCAAGGTGATACTCAAAACGCAATCAAAATCATCGAATAGTTCCATCTAGGGATGGGCAAACGGGTATAAGAACCGCAGGTCGGGGCGGGTAATCAAGGTTCGAGGAGGGTACGAGCTAGTTCCTAATTTTTAAAAAGAGAAACAAGGCTGGGTAGGGCGAGGCTTTGAAATTTTAGAGGCTGGCTAGGTCCAAATGTATAGAAAAACGGGTTCCCAAATCGGCCCCTTTGTAATTCTAATGAACAAACGAGATTGATGAGTACAATATCATCTAATCTTAACCGTCAGTTTTTACCCTAGTCTCAATCAAACCCAACTCTCTCTTGCATCTCCTCCCTTCCACCTACACTCTCCGTCTTTGTCAATCATCTTCTCCACCAAAACATCATCGCTACTACGAGTTTAGCGACCACCATGACGACCTATCTTCTTAATTGTCCTTCTCCCAGTCTTCTTTCCTCTATAGTCTTTCATGTTCGTTTAGTGCCGGTTTGATGTTAGGCTCTCCAGGTTGGATGTGGGCAAGGTCCGATTCGGGAACGCCCAGTGGTACAAGTTCTAGGTCGGATTCAGGAAGATCCACGTCGGCGTCTTGTACTCTGACGACGTCGCTTCCTGAAAGAAGTTTAGCAAACCCATGACCCATCTAGGTTTTCATTAATCTGCAGGTATAGTTTGAGGAGATTTATAACTTTGTATTAATTACACATTGATAGGTTTTCATTAATCTGCAGGTATCGTTGCCTTTTGCTGTAATTTCTCTTCTCTTTACTCTGTTTCAATGTTTTGCTTAAAAAATGTCTCTTATATTATTGACTAGGAATTTCCATTCCTTACTCTCAGTGGATAAAGAGGCAGTTATTAAACTTAGATGGAAGGAGTACATGCAGCAACCAGTTCTTCCTACTAGCCTAGCCTATGAGTTTTCATTAATCTGCAGATATGGTGGGAAATCTGAGATGGGGTTTTTTTCCTTTCTTTTTTCTGAATTTGTTGTGGAGTTTAGAGCAGAGATCTTTGAATTTGTTGTGGAGTTTAGGGCATCTAGGTGGTGTTTAACAATATCGTCGTTGATTGGAGTTAAGAGACAGATACCTTGATTTGGGATTGGGAGAGATGACCAAGAGAGACGGGGACCCGTAGACCTGGCTGGACCAGCCCCATTACTATTTACAGCGGTACGGTCCAGTTCTTGTAAATTTGGGCCCGGCCTAGCCCATGCCCACCCTTAGTTTCATCCACCTCTTCTATCTCAAGTTTAACACCTTCTGGGTAAAAACACACTACCACTTCTTTGGTCATAAATGATGCAACGCTTCTTGCTATAGAGAAACCGTCACCAGATTTTACAACAAGAGAAATTGTTACCAACTCTAGATCATGAATAAGATAATTATTTCCATGAGGTTTAAGATGTCAGGGAGCATAAGCGATGACCTTCCCATGCTACATTAGAAAA